GGGGAAACAGGGAATAACACGGCAAGCAGCGTGCATTGCCTCTAGCAGCAACTGGAGTCCTTGGAGGCCGGGTCGGTTTTCCCGGTGTCGGAGCGGTCCTTGGCGGCGGCGCCACGATCCTCGCCGACAACCTCATTGTCGGATCCGAGGATGGTCAGGCCCATCCTCGAACGGGACAGAGTGCCGGGGTCCCCCTCGGCGCCGAAGCCGGCCTGCGCCCGCTGGAGGGCATTCTTATCGGTGAAGGCGCTCTCCGGCAGGTTGGCTACCACGGTGTAGATCAGGTACTCGATGGCGAGGTCCACATTGGAGCCGGTCTTGGCGGAGGTCTCGAACCTGCCGAGACCAATGGGCGAGGGGGGGGGGAGGTGGGGAAAGGGAGCAAAGGTGTCAGAAGAGAGGGGGGGAAGGGGCAGCGACGGAGGAGCGGGGGAGAGGGCGGACCATCCGATGAAGCCGTGCTCCTCGACGGTCCTCTCAATCATCTCCACCGTGACGCCACGGGGAACCAGGTCGGACTTCGGCCGGAGAGGCGGCGCGGGGGCGAGGGACAGGGACAAATGGCATCAGTAGCGAAGGGGACGCACACCGGGGCGGCTCGGGGAAGGGCGGGCGAAGGGCGGGCGAAGGGCGGGCGAAGGGCGGGCGAAGGGCGGGATACCTTGTTCGCCAGCAGGACACACGGCACATCGCCATAGCGCTTGAGGAGATCCTGCTTCCAGCGGGTGGCGTCGTTGAAGGAGTCCGGCCGGTTGATGTCGAAGACGATGATGGCCGCGTGCGCGCCGCGGTAGTATACCGGCGTCATGGCGCCATAGCGCTCCTGGCCGGCAATGTCCCAAAGGTTGACGATCAGGTTGATGGGGCCGGCCTCGAAGCGCTCGCGGATGCCACGCTCGTACACGCAAGCGGGGATCGGGTCGCGCGGGGCGGCCGCCACAATGGCGTTGGGAGCGGCAACCGGGGCGGCCGCTGCGTCCGCCGCTGCCGCCGCATCGCCACCCGCGGCAGTCGACGTCCGCGGCGGGGAGATCATGTTGCCGGTCGGGGAGTTGCCCGGGGAGTCGGCCGCGCCGGGGCTCGGCGACGCGGTGGCCTCATCGGCGCTGTCGGAATCCGCCGGCTCCTTCAGCTGGGGCAGGGTCACATGCTTGGAGAAGAAATCCACACCGATCGTGAAGCGGTAGGTGCTGTCGAAGCGCCGGTTGACATAGCGCTGGATGATGGACGACTTACCGGTACCGGACTTGCCGATGACCAGAATCTTCAGCGCGATGTTGGTGTTGAGATCGGCGTTTGCCTGGGACATGGCTGCGAGCGAGCGAGGGTGGACGAGAGGCGAGGGCGGGCGAGAGGCGAGGGCGGGCGAGAGGCGAGGGCGGGAGGTGGCCGGCGCTGGGGGGGAGGGAGGCGAGGTGGAGGGGGACGGAGACGGGGAGGGGGGGGGAACGGGTGGGAAGCGAGGAGATCGAGGTGGAGGAGGGGAGGGGGACAAAGGGCGGAGGTGCGTCGCGGGGTGTCGGGACGCCTCAGGGTATCGGTCTGCAAGGGGCGCCAGAAAAGGCCCGGCACTATGGCCAATGCCGCCTGGGGATGTGCGTGTGTATATGTGTGCATGTACGTGTGTTTACACTTCGCCCGCGGCCTGCCGGTCGGCCCTTCTCTTCCCGTTCTCCGGGGGGCGGGGGAGGGAGGGGGGTTGCTGGGATCATCAACCCGCCGGAGAGGGGGCGGGGGGCGAGGCACGGCATGCGTCGGGGCGGGGGGGCGGGGGGGCGGGGGGGCGGGGGGGCACACCCACGCCCCGACCAGCGGCCGTGTCGGAAGGCGGGGGGCGGGGGGGGGGGGGCCAACAAGGTACGGTCACACGAACCGCTCGGCCCCAAAGGGCGAGTGCGCCGGCATGACCCCCGGGGCAAGGGAGAGGGCGCGGGGGGCGGGGGGGGGGGGCGGGGGACTACGGCTGGGGAGGGAACACGCCGTGACGGGCCATCCTTCTGTGGACAACTGAGGAGATAGCTCCCAGGGGGAGGGGGGGGGGGGGGGCGATCAGCGCCCCATTCGCATGCAACCGCACCCCGGGGTGAGTCAGCCAAATAACAGCCGCCCCCGGGCAGCCGGGGGGAAGGAACGGGCAGCGCCCTCCAACGGTCGGCCCGCGCCCGAACTCGCACTCTCCCCCGTCCCCGCCGGGCGGTCGTCGGGCTCCCATTCCCCCCCCCCTCCCCGGGGTAGGCGGACCAGGACGCTCATCCACTCCCGGCTCCCCTTGCGCGCCCCGGAGGGCGGTGCGTCAGCGCAGGCAGGCGGCGCGCACCCACGCCGACCCGACGAACAAACTGCAGGGGCATCCCGATCGCGTCCAAGGCCGACGCGCTGAGCACGGCTCCCTGCCGCCGCCGCCGCCCGGACCCGGCCACGGCCACGCACGGCCACACAGACACACACACACACACACACACGCAGGGAATTGGGACCACCACACTTGGGCGCATTTTAGAACAGCCGCCCCAAGGCCGGGGAATGCCAGCTGGCGGGGCCCGCGGTCGTGGGCCCGCGCCGGCCGGCGCATCCTCCCGCGCCATCACCGGTCTGTGCGGGAGGGGCCGTGTGCGCACACGTCTCGGGCCGCCCCCCACCGCGGGACAGAGGCGGGGAGGGGGGTCGGGGGTACGGGCACGCCTGGGGCCCGCCCCCGGGCCACCAACAAACACCTGGCGGTGATTTCGGGTCATGGGGCAGGGCGTCGGTCGTGGCACTCCGCGCGCGGCCAGACACACGCATGCAGGCGCACACACACACACACACACGCCCAGGCTCGGGGCTCGGGGCTCGGGGCCAGGGGGGTGGTGGACGACTCTGGCCCAGGGCGCCTGAGCCAACGTCCTGGTGCGGTCCGCGTTCAGGTCCAGCCGCACCAGGGAGCCCCCTCGCGCCCCCCCCCCCCCCCGGGGGGAGCCCGAGTCGTACCAGCGGCGGCCCGGCGCCGGGACATTCGCCGGTAGATAGGCACCCCGGGCCGCGGTCATCCCGGCGTGATGTGGTCGGCCCGGTGCTCGTGTGATCTCGGCTCCCCCATCGCGTGACCGGTCAATCGGGCCGCCCGACCGTGTGCCAACGAAGCCCCGATGGCAGGCCGGTGATGCGAGGGGGCGGGCCACACAAAAATGGGTCCCTCCCGCCCTGCCCCCCGCCCCCCGGCTAGCGGGCGCCGGCTCCCCCTCCCCCCCGCCCACGTCCTGCGCAGCTCCCGCTCGACGCCGCCGGAGCGCAGGATGATGCCCCCGGCGCCGATGGGTGTCAAGATGCCGCCGCCCGGAGACGGCAGAGCCGGAAACCCGATGCATTGGGGGGGGGGGGGAGGGCCGAAGGGGGCTTGCGGGGGGGCCATTTCTCGCGCGGACCTCCGAGCGCGGCCGGGATCTCTCGGCCCGCCTGGCCCGGCCTCCCGGCGAGGCGTGGCAATGCCGCGGCTCTTGGGCTACCCCGGCACGGCTTCCGGCCACAGTACCGCCCAGCCGCCCCAGTTTCACAGCACCTCCCCCCCTCTCCCGACCCAGCCCACACCTTTCCTCCACGCTTGCATCCCTCCTCCCTCCGCTCGCCTGGCGCCGGACGCTCTCCCCTCTCCCGGCACAGGGGCCTCCTCCCTGCTCTCCTCCCCCCCTGCCCCTCCATTTCGCCCGATGAGCACGAGCACCATGGAGCAGAAGCCGGCCGCCGCGGCTGCCACCCTTCCCGATGAGGCGTCAGCCGCCCTGCAGCGCCAAAAGGAGCAGGCCCAGCGCTCGCGGCTGTTTGTCATGCGCCTGGTTATCCTGGGTCTCATCTGGCTGGTGGCCTTCGGGTCACGGCTCTTCTCGGTCGTGCGCTTCGAGTCCATCATCCACGAGTTTGACCCGTGGTTCAACTACCGCGCCACGCGCATGCTGGTCAACAGTTCGCTCGATGACTTCCTCAACTGGTGCGTCTGCCCTCTCGGGCCCGGTCCAGGCTCCTGCCCCTGCTCGTGCGTGTGCCTCTGCTCTTGCTCGAGCCTGACCCTCCGCTGGCCTGCCTTGCCACTTGTTCTCCGCGCGCGCGCGCGCGCGCGCCCCCCCCCCCCCCCCCCCCCCCCCCCTGACAAAGAAGATGCCCGGGGGGACGGGGGGGAACATGCCCCCGCCGCACGACATCCAAACACCCAACCCCCAGCCCCCGCTCATGCCACCCCCCCCACACACACACAACGGGGGGGGGGCGGCGATCGGAACAATCGGACGGGACACGGCCCTGCGGGGCCCCCGGCCCCCCCCCCCCCCCCGGCCACAGGTTCGACCACCTCGCCTGGTATCCCCTGGGTCGAGCGGTCGGCGGCACGGTCTACCCCGGGCTGATGCTGGTTTCGGCGTCCATCTACCGCGTGCTCCAGGCTGTCAACATCCCGATGGACATCCGCCACATTTGCGTCTTCCTGGCGCCGGTCTTCTCCGGCGCCACGGCCGTGTCCACCTACCTCTTCACTCGCGAGCTGAAGGACGAGCGCGCCGGCCTCTTCGCGGCGGCCTTCATCGGTGCGCCGGGCCTCCTCCCCCTCCGTCGCCCCCGCCGGGCCCCTTTTTTTTTCTCCCTCCCTTTCTGCCTTTCGCCGCCCCTGCCCCCCCCCCACGGCCAGTCTGACACTCGGCCCCTGGCTCGCAGCCCTTGCCCCGGGGTACTCCTCGCGCTCGGTGGCCGGGTCCTATGACAACGAGGCGGTGGCCATCTTCGCCCTGCAGTTGACCTTCTTCCTGTGGCTGCGGGCCCAGCGCACCGGGTCCACCCTGTGGAGCCTGGCCTGCGTGGCCTCCTATTGGTTCATGGTGGCCAGCTGGGGCGGCTACGTGTTCATCACCAACCTCATCCCGCTGCATGTCCTGGCCATGGTCCTGCTGGGGCGCTTCAACAGCCGCCTGCACACGGCCTACTCCATCTTCTATGTGTTTGGCACGCTGGCCTCCATGACCGTGCCCTTCGTCAACTTCCAGCCGGTCAAGACCAGCGAGCACATGGCTGCCCTCGGCATGTTTGTTCTCCTGCAGGGGGTCGCCGGACTGTACACCCTGCGCCGACTCATGTCCCCGGCGGCCTTCCGCCGGCTGCTGGTGGCCGGCGGCCTGGCGGCCCTGGTGGCCGGTGCCTCGGCCCTGGTGCGTTGGCCTCCTCTCCTCCATCTCGCTCGCTCTCTCTCTCTCTCTCTCGCTTTCTCTCTCTCTCTCGCTCCCTCTCTCGCACGACAACCAGGCGCTTGGCCCCGGCATCCTCATGCTGCTTTGGCACTTGCCGCTCGCCTACATGCTGACTCTTCTCCGCCTCGCAGTATGTCCTCCGCGATACGGATCTCATCCGTCCCTGGGCCGGGCGCTTCTACTCGCTCTGGGACACGAACTACGCCCGCGTGCACCTGCCCATCGTGGCCTCGGTCAGCGAGCATCAGCCCACCACCTGGACGTCCTTCTTCTTTGACCTCAACCTCATGGTGTGTCGCCTGCCCGGGCTGGCTCCCTCGCTCGCCCTCTCTCCCATACACACACGCACACGCACATGCACACGCACACGCACACGCGCACACACACACACACACACACATGTATATATACTTTCATAGCAGGACGATGTGGCTGTACACCAGCCAGTCTCCTGCCCCGCCCCCCGCCCCCCGCCCCCCGCCCCCCTTGACGCCTGACCCTCCGGCGGCCCCCCTCTCCTCCGATCGCCCGCCATCCATGAAGACCGTCTTCTTCCCGGTCGGCCTGTTCCTCTGCTTCCGGCGCTTCGGCGATGCCCATGTCTTTGCCATCCTCAATGGCCTGACGGCGGTCTACTTCAGCGCGGTCATGGTTCGCCTGGTCTTGACCCTGGCCCCGATTGCGTGTGTCCTGTCCGGCTATGCCGTGTCCCACCTGCTGGACTACTACCTGGGGGGGGTTTTCGGCCCGGCCGACTCCCCGGCCGGGACCGGTCATCCCCCGGCCGTCGGCACGCCGGTCCCGGCCGCGGCCGCGGCTGCCGAGGCGTCGGCCACACCGACGACCGAGCCCACCCCGACCAAGGCAGCCACCATCCCGGCCGCTGCCCCGGCCGCCGGCTCGCCCCCCGGCACTCTGGGCCTGATTGACCGCGTGTCAGTGCTTTTGCCCCTGGTCCTGGTGCTGGTGGTCCTGCACTTGCATTGCATTTTCGTCACCTCCACCTCGTACTCCAACCCGTCGGTCGTCCTGTCGGCCAGTCTCGGCGACAGTCGCATGATCATCGACGACTTCCGCGAGTCCTACTCCTGGCTGCGTCACAACACCCCCCAGGATGCCCGCATCATGAGCTGGTGGGACTACGGGTATCAGATCAGTGGCTTCTCCAATCGGTACGGCCAGCGCCTTCCTTTTCCTTCCCCTCCCCCCCCCCCCCCCCCGCCTGATGTCCACCCGTCAGCCCACTCGGCTGCCGGCATTGTGCGTGGTCTGTGGTGCCCACTGACTTGCCTCTTTCCTTCTTTCCCTCCTCCCCCCGCCGCCGCCGCCGCCGCCGCCGGCCGTCTCAAAGCACCGTGCTCGTGGACAACAACACCTGGAACAATACGCACATCGCCACGGTCGGCAAGGCCTTCGCCATGGACGAGGCGAACGCCTTCGATGTCATGGTGCAGAACGACGTGGATTATGTGCTGGTTGTTTTCGGCGGCCTGCTCGGGTACTCCGGCGATGACATCAACAAGTTCCTTTGGATGGTCCGCATCGCGCAGGGCGTCTACCCGGGCGATGTCACCGAGCGGGCCTTCTTCAACTCGCGCGGCCAGTTCAAGGTGCGCAAATCCCTCTGGCCTGCCTTTGCCCTCCCTCTCGCGCACGCACGCACACACGCACACGGACATTTGGTGGCCCATCCCCGCGACCTTTCCTCTGCTGGCCTCCCTGCGATTGCTTTCCCACCGCCGCGCTTCGATCGTTCTGACGTCGTGCCTCTCCCACCTCGGGCCTTCTCCCCCCGCCCCGCTCCGGCCCACAGGTTGATGAGACCGCCTCGCCCACCATGTACAATTCCCTCATGTTCAAGCTGTCCTACCATCGCTTCTACAGCACCTCTGTGGGGAAGGATCGCGTGCGCATGGTGGCGCCGCATTCCTCCATCTCCCGCGATACGCCCCTCGCCTCGGTGGAGGAGGTGTACACCTCATCCAGCTGGCTGGTGCGCATCTACCGTGTCCGCGAGCCGGATATCTTCGGCCGCACGGTGGATGAGCGTTTCTCAGACTTCCTTCCCGCGCTGAAGCCTCCCCTGGCCCCGGTTGAGTCGGTTCTCCCGCGCTTGGCCCTTTCCGGCGCCGGGGAACGCTGAGCGCCCTTGCCTCGGCGCTTGCCTCGCCGCCTACATGGCCGCGAAGCTCCCGCGCGCCTCTCCACCTCAATTCACAGGCCAGCAGGGGGGGGGAACACTCCTCTCTTTTCCTTTCCCTCGCCCCCTCCCCCTGCCCGCACGGGCAATTGTGCGCGCTCGCGCACGTCCGCAATGAGCCCCCCGGGCCCGCCCTCAATAAGACAAATCCCCAACAGTGTTGACTTCCCACCTGGCCCCTGGCCAGTCAAATGCACGGATCAATGTGCGGAAAGCAGGAAAAGGGAAAGGGCAACACTCAAGCACAAGGGGGGGGGGTGAGGGAGCGCGTAATCTATAGTGCGAGGAAGTGGGATCCGCATGTCTGGCATGTGGCATGCGTCTACCAGCGGAACTGGCCGTTGGGTGGGCCAGACTGCCGCGGAGGGGTATGTGGGGTCGCCGGAGGGGGCGCATGTGAATGGGGCTGTGGCTGCGCCTGCGTCTGCGTCTGCGCCTGCGCCTGCGCCTGCGCCTGCGCCTGCGAGGGGGGCTGACGAAGGTTGAACAGCGGCCGGTGTGGCTGGGAGCCGGGGCCCGGGGGCGCTCCGGCGACGCTGCCATGCCGCGCGGTCGACAGGGCCATCGGAAGTGGCGGCCGACGAACCCCGCCGGAGGCCGGGAGGCTGGTGGTCACGGTCGAGGGCGCCGCGGCAACTGGCACCGGCTGCGTGGCTGGCGCTGGCGGAGGCCCGGAGCCCCGCTCATAGCCGCCAGTCGGCGGTCGCGGCCGGTCACGCTCCGCCGGAGCGAGATCTGCCCCGAGGTATGAATAGGGTGTTGGCTGCACGGGCAACGGCTGGGCGGGGGGCGCGCCGCCGCCGCGTGAGGGCAAATGCCGCCGGATATTCTGAAGGACGCTGGCTGCCGCGGCACCGGGCCGATGAACGGGCTGCCCAGACGGCGGCGCGACATACGGCACGGGAGGGGGCGCTGCCTGGGCAGGACGTGATAGGCCACCAGGGGCGGCCGGGGACACGGCCGGGGGCACGGCCGGGGGCACGGCCGGGGGCACGGCTGCCGCCGCCGCCGCCGCCGCTGCCGCCGCTACCGGTGCAGAGTGCTGTGTCGAGGGGGCACCATAGGCAGGGACGTCGCCCCCGCCGGAGCTCAATCGCCCGACCGGAGCTGGCGCACTGGTACCCGTTCCGCGGAGCCTGTGCCGGCCAAAGGCCGACATCCGCTCGGACGTGGTGAAGTGCCGGACAGCGGTGGGGTTCTGCTGCGGGGGGGGGCCCTGTGGTGGTGAGTGCCACAGCGGCGCCCCGGCGTCCAATGGCTCGGGAACATGATCATCCAGCGAGTCGGTCAGATCCACAAAGGCCAGACCGGCGCCGGCGCGGCCGGCCGCCGGTTGCAGGGCCTTCAAGGTCGGCGGCATGCTGACAACGGCGTCCAGGCCGGCGGCCATGGCCGGGCGCTTGCGCGCCGACAGACTTGCTGGCATGGTTCGCCGCTGGGTCGGGGTGTTCGGCGAGCTTGGGGCCGGGCCGGCCGGCCCAGCCGGCACCGGCACCGACACCGGCACCGGCACCGACACCGGCACCGGCACCGAATTGGCCCCACGCTCGGCCAGCACCAGGGACGGAGGCGCGTTCTGAGACTCAGCAGAGCTGAGGATGGGACCGGCAGCGGGGGCCTCGCTGGCGGCAGGGAAGAAAGCCCGTGACCGGGTTGGGGTGAGGGCACCCCCATGCTCCGAGCCGTCGGAAAGAGATCCCGACCGAGGGCGCTTGAGGATGGAGACATCGACCGACAACTCGGGCCCCTGGCCGGTTGCCGGCAGGGAGCCCGACAGGCGCTGCAGGCCCCCGGGGCCGGCCGCCGCCGACGTGCCACACCAGTCATGCTGCTGCCGGAAGAGCCGGAGCTCGGCCAATTCCAGCTGCAGGTGCTTGATCTCGGCGGCCTGCTCGTCCGATCGCCGGCGGACCTCGGCAAAACGCTGGATTTTCTGGTTGGGATTCGAGTGGCACGAGAGATCCAGCGCCTCCTGGCGCAGAGACCCCACCAGGCGCGTGAGCTCTTGCGATTCGGCGCGCGCTTGGCGCAGGGCCGCCTGGCGCCGGGCAAGACGCTGCTGCTGTCGCTCGGCCATCGCCGCCGCGGCCTTCAGCTGCAACGCGCCCACCACATCCAGGTGCATGGCAAGGTCGTTGGCCGCTCGGCGCCCGGCCGCCAGGAGCTTGGTCCGACTGCCACGCAGCCGGGCCACCTCCTCGCGCAGGCGGACCTCCCGATCCATCAGCCCGGCCAGCAGCTCCTCCACCCGGCCAGTCCGGGCCTCCAGCCGGCCAAGGTGCCCGAGCAGCCTTCGGCCCAGAGCAGCCAGCGACGAGCCGACCATGGCAGCCAACCCGCCGAGGGCCGTCTCCGCGTGAGAGCCCAGGGCACGGAGATCCGTGGCCCGTTGGTTGTGAGCCCGGGCCAGCGCCTGGCCCAGGGCCGCGGTGTGCCGCCGGGCCGAGCCTGCCCGGGTCCGCCGGACGGCCCCGACAACCCCGCTCACCAGGGCCACGCAGGACGCCTGGTCCAGGGCCAGCAGCGCGGCATTTTGCTCCCGCTTCAGGGCGGCCACCGTGGCATCGTGCTCCAGCGTCAGGGCCTGCCGGAAGGAGACCCACTCTTCGACGTGCGAGGCACGGAGTTGCGAAAGAGCGGCCTCATGCTCGGCGGTCAGGCTGGCCCGCAGGGAGGCCAGGGCCTCCTCTTGGTTGGTCTTCAGGCTGGTGGTGGCCGTGGCGCGCTCGGCCTCGAAGGCCGCCCGAAGGGCATCCAGCGCCTGCCCATGGGAGGCCTCGAGCTTGGCAAGGGCTTCCTGGTGCTCGGCGGCCAGGCTGGCCTGCAGGGCGGCCAATTGCTCCAGATGCCCGGCTTGCATGGTGGCCAGCTCCTCGGCATGCGCCTCGTCGAAGGTGGCTTGCAGGGCGGCCAGCGAGCTGTCACGATCGGCCTCGAGGTTTGCCCGCAGGTCGGCCAGCTCCTCGGCATGGGTGGCGGCCAGAGCCTGGGCAGATGCCTGGTGGTCGGCATCCAGCGTGGCCTCGAGCGATGCGAGGGCCTCGGCGTGCGAGGCCTCCAGGCCCGAAAGGGCATCCCGATGCTCGGCCTCAAGGGACTCCCGCAGGGCCGCCAGGGCACCGGCGTGCGTGGTCTCCAGGGCACTTTGGAGCGAGGACAGGGCCTCGTCGTGCTCGGCCCCCAGGGTAGCACGCATGTGAGCCACACTGGCGGCATGCTCGGTCTCAAGGGCGGCCAAGGCAAGGGCATGCTCGGCGCCCAGGGCCTCGCGCAGGGCCGCCATGGCGTCAGCATGCTTGGTCTCCAGCTCGGCCATGTCGGCACGGTGCTGGGCATCGAGGGCCGTCTGGAGCACAACCAGCGCATCATCTCGCTCGGCCTCCAGACTGGACTGCAGAGACAGCAGGGCCTCGGTGTGCTCGGCATGCAGGGTGCTTTCCAGCAGGGAAAGGGCCTCGGCATGGCTGGAAGCCAGGTCGATCAGGGCATTCTGCTGCTGAGCCTCAAGCGACTGGCGCAGGCTGGCCAGCGCGTCCACATGAATGGCCTCCAGGTCGGCCAGGGCGGTGGCGCGCTCGCTCTCCAGCGCATGGCGCAAGGTGCTCAGGGCGTCGGCATGCGCGGCCTCCAGCCGGTCGTGGGCGGCCGCATGCGAGGTACTCTGCTCACTCAAGGCCGCGCGCCGTTCGGCGTCCATGGCATGTCGCATGGCGGCCAGGGCCTCGGCATGGGCAGCCTCGAGAGCGGCCAGGGCCTGGGCATGGGCAGCCTCGAGAGTGTCCTGCTGGGCGCGCAGGGCAGCCTGCCGCTCTTGGAGAGCCTCGGCCAAGGCCACCGCATGCTCATCCTCCAGGGCACTGCGCAGGAGGGCCGTGGCCTCAGCATGCGAGGCCTCAAGCTCCCCAAGGGCATCCTTGTGCCTGGCCTCCAGGGCACTCTGGACAGTGGCCACCTCGGCAGCATGGGTAGCAGCCAGGGCTTCGAGCGAGGATTGGCGCTCGGCTTCCAGGCTGGCACGCAAGGCGGCCAGCGCCTGGGTGTGGGTGGCCGTCAGTGTGTCCATGGCCGCATCATGCTCGGCGGTGAGGGTGTCGCGCAAGGCCGAACGAGCTTCCGCCTGCTGGGCCTCGAGAGAGGCAGTGGCCGCATCGTGCTCAGCCACGAGGGCAGCTCGCTGGGCCGAAAGTGCCTCCGC